GTAATCAAATTATTAATCGGTTACAAATGAACGATACATTTGCTTACACGGTATAAATTAAAACTTCTTTACTTGAAAATTATCACAGGGTGATCCAGGTCTGAGGCTAATTCCACCTTCGGGTAGACCAACCACATGTGCAAATTCGCTGGTGCTACGGCAGGTCGACGGATCGGTTCCATTTTGGCAGGCTAATTCGCACAATTTACGTTTATCGATGTTTGGAATTACGTTACTGGTTAAAAAGCACTCGGTCAAGTTCCATTCGAGGCAGATCGATCCCGTACACTCGCCGTTGATGCACAACTGTACAGTTACCAACAAAATTATCGTTACACGAAACGAGAGGGGAGGGAAAAAAAAAAAAGAACAAAAGACGATCCAACGTATTCCCCTTTTTACCTGAGTCCCCTCGTTACATCTAGTCTTGTTGGCTCTTGGCAATGGTGGAGGACACTCGGAGGATCGCCCGTTACAAGTCGAATTGTAACTGCAATCCGATTCAGCCTTGCATTGAACGTTTTTGGAGAGGGGAACGAACTGGCACGACTCGCTCGAACAACAAGGCCCTTGGCTGGGACTGTGGAAGAGAGATGACACGTCGGTTACACAGATTGGACGATACGCGAATTTGCGTTTGATGCCTGCGTACCTGCATTGCGTACCGGATTTTCTGGTACAACCTTTCGCCGTGTCGTTCTTCATTTTATCCAAATCTGATATCTGCCTTGGATAACAACACTTGTCCACGCATTCATTGTCGTCATACCCACAATCGCACTCCTCCCCAGCCTCCACTATCTTATTACCGCAGAAAGCTCCAGCAGAGGCTGTGACAAAATTAAATTGGAATAATAAAACGTGTGCCAATCGCGTTTCGAAAAAAATTAACAACCTCTTACACACCGGTGAAACAATTTTTCTTCTTCTTATCCTCGATAGCGTCCAGCACGTTACTGATATTGCCAATACTGCATTTCGAAAACTTGCTGTTATTCGGCCGGTCTCCGCTCGTCGCCGACGCAAACATGATGTAATTTCCGTGGAGGCCACCTGGTCTACACTCGGGTGGAAAATCGTGCTGGAACGAGAATATGGAATATATAAGAATATATAAGGGAGCGTGATGATGGAAAAGATATTTTTTTTATATTAATAAATAATGCTCACAGGTGATCCAAAATTGTGCCCTATCTCGTGAGCCAACGTCAGCTGCGACACTTTTGGAGGGACTCTGCTGTTGTAATTGACAAAAGTGATGATCCCAGTGTTCAAAGATCTCTTGGTAGACTGGTACATCCCTCCAACCGTTTCCGTATACGTTTTGTATCTCTCGCAAATGCCACCGGATGCGCCAGATGCGGATGCCACCCAGGCAAGGCCAAGTGTGCCGCCAGTAAAATCTCTGTTAATAATATAACCTTGGTGAATCTGTATTCCGAGCATGTTGACTATCGTATGTATATTTCAAACACGCCATTCTTTTTTCGTACCTGTAGGTGAACACGTACGCGAGGCAGAAATCCTCGTGGTTTCCTAGCGAATGCAAATTTAAAAAGTTACTGACGTCGATGTTCTCCATGCAGAAAGGATTTGGCTCGCCGTACGTTTGTTGGGGTGTGCACGCCGTGTCGTCGTCGATCTGTGATGGTCAAAGTGTTCTCATTAGAGGCGAGACCTAATTTTTCAACTTACGCAGTCATTCTTCGACAAAAAAAAAAAAAAAATTAAAACTTTTTATCTTCTTTTACCTTGTGAATGCGAGGTTGAACGAAAAGTTGGAAATCTAATTTTAAACTTGTGCAATGCAATCATCCTTGGCATAAAAAAATTTAACTTTTACTTTGCCATGTAAAATTTGGTCGAAACGAGTCAACAGCCGCCGATTCGAAGTTTCCGAAATCTAATTTTTTTTAACTCGTGCGATGACGATCATCCTTTGCAAAGGGGAGGGGAAAAAAATTTAAACTTTTATCTTTTTCTTCGCAACGAATCGGGTCAACCAATATCGTTTCGAAGCTTTTTCCAAAGACTTTTCGGAAAGAGTCGCGTTTATCGGATCGGAGGACGAGTAATTCTTTTTTTTTTTTTTTGATCACCTTTATCCGTTGCACCTCGAACTTGATGTTTCTATGCTTGATCCTCCCGTCGAATCTGGTGTCTCTGTAAATGTAATTCACCGCGGTGACGTGGTGCGCGATCAGAGACAATATCTCCTCCCTGGTCTTCTCCGCGTCGTGATGTAACTGAAAGCGAAAATGAGACGTGAAATGAGACGTCCTCGATTTTTCTTGAAGATTTTTAAGTCTTCGATCAAAAAAAAAAAAAAAAGAAAATGCAAAGATGGAAATAAATTCCTCAAAGGAAAAGGGGGAAGGAACGTGGAGGGAGTAGTCTGGGGAATAGTCTCTCTAGGAAGAAAATGCGAAATGAAATTACGCTATCTCCTATTGCCAACGAGTATAACCGTTTGAACGTGAGAACAACGAGAGAATGGCAAGGAATTTGGGATCATTCGTGCGACGAGTTATTACACGTTTCGAGGGAAATTTCACGCGAAAGAAAAGAGGTGAAGAATCTTTGCTCCTGGAAGCCTTTCTTCGCTCGGCCGAACCAACAACTCGAGACGATTTCGAATCTAAAGTGATGGCTCTGAGAGTCGATCATTCGAGCGTAAATAAAGAAAGAAAATACGTCGAATGTCAAACTAATATATCGTTGTTTTGTGTGATACTATACAAAGCAATCGTCAAAAGATCCATCCTGGTTTAACAACTCCTTGTGTCCTACAACAACGAGTGAGACTCGTAGCAAGAAATTTGGGCCAAAAATTATAAACACGAGCCTGACTCGTCGTACTTCGTTCGAACGAAACGTAAACAACACGAGTCTAACTCGTGGTACTTCGTTCGGACCAAACGTAAACAACACGAGCCTTGGCTCGACCGACCTTCTCGTTTATTGTTACTCGAGAAATCGAGAGTTTGGCGGGTAGAACGGTTAATCCAATTTCTTTTTTCTAATAAAAGTCCACCACTTTTCTTTATGGAAACGAAACTCGAGTTAAAATAAGTAAAGGAATCTTTTGCGCACGGATAATTTTGAACATTTACCTGTTCCGATATGTGTCTCCATATTAGGGGATCGGTTTGGATGAAAAGGGAACAAGTGTTATTCTTCTTATCCTCCTTCGGCCTGGTCGCCCTCCGCGTCCTTCTGTGCGAGCCAGGCTCGTTAGCTTCCCTCGAATACTTGTGACCGGGCGACTCCTGATCACCGTTCCACGGTTTCACGACCGGCGGCGGCGGGTCGGATTTCTTCTCGGTTACCGGACGTTCCTCGTCCGGTTCCGCGGAATTTTGTATCCTGTCCATCCACTCCACCACGTCATCGGTGATACCGCAACCTCCCGTTTCACCTTTAAGAAAAAGGAAAAAGAAAAAAAATAATAACAATAATTGACCAATATCACACGCGTGGAAGAATCAAATTTCCTTGTCAAAATCAATATCGTCCTCCAGAGTTGGACCTCCAGTTGGAAAGAGTAACTGATCGAAAATCTCGAGTAAAGTTACTTCGAGTTAATCGGGTTATTAAAACTCTCGAGAATCACATTTATAGCCGACCCGTTTCCCGGCGATTTGATATTACAATTACTTCCAATTATCATTATTACGTTTCGAACGTGAAGCAACTTTGCGAGAAAGTAAAGTTCGACCCCTTAAATTTTCCCCATCGCCGCTCTAAATCCATTTCAACGAATAGCTAATTGAGTCAAAAAAAAAAAAAAAACCGAGAACCACTCTTTTCGAAGGATGGAGAGAATTTTTTTCCATGGTAAGTAAATAATCCGAGCTTGAATCTGAAAAAAGGAAAAAAAGAAATAGCGAAACATCGAGCATCCGTTTACACTAGGCTCGCCCTGCTTCGTCGTTCGTTGAAAGAGGAAGTATGATTTCACACTCGTACGTAGGCGGGTGACCACCACGTCCTCAAAATAATGGGATCGTCGTTACGGACGATACGACACCCAAGGGGAAGCGGTTAAGTTTGTCATTACGAGGCGCATTATGCCCGCGCATCCGCTTTTGCAGACACAGCTCTCTCTCTCTCTC